CCCACACACCCACACACACACACACACACACACACACACACACACGTCATCCCAAGCACGCACACGACAGGTGACAAATCAGGGATTAGCTCAATAGTTTAATGTTATATGATCATGCGGGCTGGATTTGCACGGTTCAATCCAATAAATATTCATGGTAAAATAAAATAATAAAGTTTAGAATAACAAACTATGCGTTAATGGATCGTGTTGATAGTTTGCAGTGGTCCTGTAGTTATTGAATGTTCGTTCAGATCAAAATGTTGCTGTGTGTTTCCAAATTCTGGAAGGTGAGGTCTATAAGCAGTGATGTGTGAGAAAGAGAGAGAGAGAGAGAGAGAGAGAGAGAGAGAGAGAGAGAGAGAGAGAGAGAGAGAGAGAGACTATTGAGTGGTGGAGAAACTGTCGGTGAGTTGTTTAAGATATTTTTAAGGACACCTGGAAAGGGCCAAAACGACTCGAAAATTGCCGCGTCCAGCCAAAATGTGTCTTTTCAAACCAAGGAATCCGAGACTTTTGGTCAGATTTGGCCAGACTAGCACTAACCCGTTTCTGAGCGAAACTTGTTTCAGGGAGCTGAATTTTTCATCCAGGGCGAGTTGTCAAACCTCACCGTATTGCTTCGTGCACACGATGAAAACCATAATGTTTAAAATTCCACCCAGCACCTATCTTCCTCATATTCATGGTTGACATTTAATAGCAGACTTTCGGTGTCTTTTAAGGCATTTTGGTTCTTGTGACTATTTTTGTGGGTTTACTCATGATAGACATGCCTATTAAATTTCACGCTGCAATTAATGATATGGCACAAGTGGTCTAAATTTCAATTGAGCATGAATACGTGCTGAGTTAATGCAGCCTTTGAGTAAAAGCGTCAATGTCAAGTGGAGCTTTTTACAGTATGGTTGGTTTATCTCCGTTTGACTAAAACACGCAACGCAGGGTGGCACATATTTGCATTTCTTAAAGCAAGACATCCCCCTTTAAGCGGGGGATTGTTTTTTTTCCCCCGCTTACACCCACTGCGACTGAGGTCAAACGAACAATTGGAACGACACAGAAATGTTTATGTTTCAAGGCACATCTGCGAGAGACATCAGCAAATCCTAGTTGAGTCTCGTGGGGGATGCAACCCGACGAGGCGGGTTTGTATTCAAGACGCATTTCAAGTGTGACAGCTCATGACCAGCGTGAATCGCTCTTTCACAACAACTTCAGAGGTGTTGGACATCGCCAGTTTAAAAAAAAAAAAAAAAAAAAAGGGCCACCGAGAAGTCGGCAAGAAAATGTATGTTGCCAGAGAAGAGAAAAAAATACAGAGGAGATATGATTCCAACAAATCATTCGCTTCCACGGAAATGAACGTGGTGAGAAATAACGGAGGAGATAAAGCAGCCATCGGGCCTTCCTATCACATAGCGCCCTCATTCCATTTCACCTGCACATTTTCATACCCTGAGTCGCTACCTTAAGTGTTTTCTCCCGACAGACACAGATTGCAGATAAAGTCTTCATTTATTTCCCTCTCTTGGGTACCCCAGCCGGTTATTCTTGGAGGACGACAAAAGTTAAATCTGAGCAAAACATTCCATGATAACAAGGTTGGTTACTTTATGCAGAGTCAGTGGGGAAGCTAATGGCTATGGACACACTTTTGAGTACTTAAGGAGTCCACATCGACCCCAAAAAGAAGGCCCACACTTTTTATGTTTTTTTTGTACAACAACAACAACAACAACAACAAGAACAAAAACAACAACAACAACAACAACAACAACAACAACAACAACGCTACTTTTTGCAGAGTCAGCATAAAAGCTAATGGTTGTGTGCGTACTGCAAGGAATGGAGTCAATGGTACTCAGGACCCCTCCTCCTAAAATAATGGCCAATATTACAAACGGAAGATGAAATAACTCCAGTCCCATGCCAAGGTCAAAGTTGTATTGACAAACTTTTTAGAGTAGGCCAAATACTACAGAAAAAAACAACAGTTCCACTGTGAGAAACTGTTGCTTGCAACAATTTTTTTTTTCTCCAGAGTATTCTGGGAGACTGGCGACCAGTCAGGATGCAGCCAGTCTATCAGGCATAGCCAGCTGGGATATACTACAGTCAGAGCAGCACGGAAGAGCAAGCAGCCAGCATCCTACCCTTCAAGGAAAACAGTTTGAATCTTGGCTCGGATTGCTTGCATCTTCTCCCAAAATTCGGTGTGCTTTTTAGAATTTGGACGAGTACCCTAAATCCAGATTTGCTATTTGTATTGACGACAATGAATGTCTTTCAGATAGACTTCAATGGTTAATCATTGCCCTTTTCACAAAAAACAAGTCACAGTCCAACAAATAAAAAATCCAAATTGATCCAAACGGTTAATGTGGTGCACTTACAAAGTGCTAAATCTACACCATACTGCACCCAAAGCACTTTACCTCTCAAATTCACGTATTTGAAAACTATGTAATGAACTGGAGCACGAGTGCATTGAGGCGGCTCTCTCTACGGCCAAACTTTCTCTTGAGTTTAAACTGGCCTACTTTAACCAGGATCCCTCGCCATACAGTGGCCAAAGGTGGTATCCAGATTGGGTTTTGCGACTGCTGCTCTTGGAAATCCATCCTGTCTGGGACCAGTTCATAGCTAGCTGGGAGATATCTCTCAGGGGCCCGAGTTGGCAAACACCATCCGTGTATTGCTATGACGGCATTAGGTGCCAACAGCAAAGTACAAATAGAGGCGCTGATATGCTGCCGAGCTGGACTTTATTGACTGACTGCTGAGCAGTTTAATATCATGCTCATTAGCTGGCAAACTATTCACCTACATGCACACACTTTTGAGTATCTGGCTGAAAGGAGCCCACGTAGCTCCATTTGACGCATGCACAATCCCTTAGCTTCAAAAGTAAAAGTGTAATGGATGGACAGGTGAATAAGTAAAAGGCATGCATCTTTTGGATCAAGAGCTCAACCCTGAACTTCACCTTGTTCAACACGAGCAAAAAATATCCAGCATCATTGGGCTGCGACTTTCCAGGAGCTTTGAGGGTGTTCAGGGACGCTAACAAGCAAACACCACGGATAAGTCAATTGGAGGGCAGCTAATTAGGACTGCCTGGAGCGGGTATATCAGCAGCTCTCCTTGACACCACCGTATAAGGTGTAAAAAGTTCATGCTGGACATTCTGAGATCTGTGCTGAGATTTTATGAAAACTGTGTGTGTGTGTGTGTGTGTGTGTGTGTGTGTGTGTGTGTGTGTGTGTGTGTGTGTTTTAGCCTGAGCTTGATATGCTGTGGCACACTCGACTACAGAGAGCATGGAGGATCTTGATGACTCAGCATCACTTCTACTTGCAATTGACACACTGATCTTTATTTCTTGCTACATCTATATCAGCATAATTCCAGACGCACGTAAAAAGCACTTTGCTCTCAGTCTGATGTGGCTCAGTCATCTGTTATTTCAAGTTGTTGTCTCTCTTGAGTGAAGGTCTTGCCATGCCTGCAAGCTTCCCGACAAAATACGCTTTGAGCATAGCGTGAATAACTGGAGTAACAGCGTTGACCCTGTCGGATGACTTTGGAAGCTCCAGGTTAAGTTGCAAACATGAACCTTATTTTTATTTTTATTTCTACTGCATACAATATTTTTGTTTTTCCATGTAAATATTTGCTTCTCAATGGAAAAAGATTGGATACCCCTGGTACACAGCATTATGTATGGTGATGTAGGCATCAGCTTCAGCCTACTCCTTTTTGGGCTCGTATTTCTACATACTGAAATACATATCTTCAATGTTAATGCCCAAATAAACTAAACAAAGCCAAACTAAACTAAAATATATATTTTAATACAATCCATACTTAGATTTACAAACATCACAAGCTTATTGCTAACACTCATTGCTAGGCTAACAGAACCAGAGCCAGTTCCCATAAATAAACATTCATTCACAAACAATGAAGCAACATACACAGACAGACAACACTACTCACAGGCAAACTGTATTTTCTTCCTCTACTCGGTGAAAAAAGGTGTTTTATTAATGACGTTCCATCACTGCTTTCTTTGTGTGCACACAAGGGTCTCACAGTTGGAACAGCTCTAATATAGGCAAATTTTTGCTATTCACAATAGGTTTCATGAATGGCTTGATTTCACGGGATTCAAGGTGCAAATACCAACACAAATGGATTTTATGCTTAAAAAAAAAAAAACTGTTGTATTGGCATTACTTGTGCTCTCGCTCAACAGAAATGACATGCAAGTGCGTGAGAAAATAAATGTCATGGAGACAGGCATGGGGGGGAGGGGGGAGAGACACGTGACTCATTCTTAGCAAGACAAAGCAGCCCGAGGCCTCACAGTCAGTGTGTCTGTCACTTGTGGTCGGTGTCATTTGAACATGTGGAAAGTCACAGGGCCAATTAGCTATCAGCACAAGCAAAGATCGACAAGACAAAGGGAGTATCAAACAAGGAAATTAAACAAGCAACTATTGCTGTATATAATCAGTTTAAAGTCACAAAAATAAAAAACAAACATCAAGGAAGTTGGTCTTACCTGAGTGTTGAGCGTCGAGTGGCTGCTGTAAGGACGCCTCACCGTCGCGGTGGATCTATGAAGTGGGAGGAAACAGGAAGACACTGAATCAGCCTCAGCAACATGTGACACGCGTCAGCCGGCGAGACAGAATGATGCGGCAGTCTGGAAGTGTCGGAAAGGAGGCGACAGCGAGGCGACTTCTTGGATAGGTTGGCCGTGAACACACGAGGCTTTTGCTTCCTTCATATGTGCTCAGTATGGCTATACAGCAGCTGTGCGTGCGCGTGAGCGAGCTCACCCCTGTGTATGCGTGTGCCCAGAGTCTGCCAATGCTGGTTTTTGTGACAAACTAATCACACATACCACTCCCAAAACTGCCACCTCAACGTCTGCGCAGGTGGCAGTCAACGCTTCGGTGGTTTTCAGAATTGACTAGACGCTCAACTTAACAGACTCTTTGTGTTAATGATGATGGAAACAGCGGACAGCGTTTAGAAGGCTACCTTTGACTTTGCATCACAGTCATCCTTAAAATTGTATGATGGACACGTCACATGAAACACTACATCACTTGGTCTTTATTTGAAAGCTGTGAGGTGTCAAGGACTTTCAATCAGAATCAGGGGACACTGACAATCACAACTGGGAAGGATTCTTACGAAAAACCGGACATACAAATCCAATTTGAAAATGGTATGACCCAAAAGATAAATAAATAAACCGTCGTCATCATCATCAAAAAAAGCAGATTAGGTTAAAAACAACTGATCTTTTAATTCTGGGATGGACTTTCCATGAAACACTCTAAAGGTTTTGATCAGTTTGATAACTTTAGCACACTAAATCCTAAGAAGGACCTTCTACAAAACAGCTTCGTTGGTTGAGAACTGATCTTTTTTTTTTTCGTCATGGTGAATTGACTCCGCTGTGATGGATGTTTACACGTTTTTTTTAAATACCGCAATAGCTTTTACATGAAATACTTCCTCCTTTTTTAAATGTTTCTTCTTCCCTAAACAAATTCTTCTTGGCTCATGACACCAAAATGTTTATGAGGTGACAGTGAATCACAGTGGTCATGGCTCATAGAAGTCAGTGTGACCAAATGTAAACAAATTAGTCTCTTTGCTAAAATTTCGCCTGCTGTAACATCTCAAATTCACCCAAAATGGCTATTTCAAACCATCATGGGTGAATTCCTGTTCAAATTCTTGAGCGTGGGTTTTTAAGGCTTTTATGAACGTCGTGTTATGGTAAACATGGAATTGAGTGCACATGTGTATCAATAGATGCTGTAAGCCAGGCCGCGGACTGAGGTTCACCATACAATTTTGGGCTAGTTCTCAAAGGAGCACCAAAGGTTGTTGCTTGGTGCTCATTTTTTCCGCTCAACCAAGTAAGTTCACTGACAGAGGCGATTTATACTTTTTATTTATCAATTTGTACGTCATGAGTTTATTAGTCTCGCAATGGAGAAATTCCCAATTCACAGTTATACTTTTACAATCAATTTGTACGTCATGAGGAGATGTTTCCACAGCAGTATTTTGAGATGTGTTCTTCAGATGGTTTCACAGTGTACAACTTAATACATCCATGACCTAATTAAATAGAGCTAATAAAGTACTTGGAACTTACTTGTATAGAATGGCACATGCAACGATCAGTGTTACTGAATTGAATATGGCTTTTTAAAACAAACAAACAAAAAAAAAGTTATGCACTGCAGCTATAATATGGCACACAACACATGTGCAATGTGCTTATTTGGATACAAGTGCTCAATTCCCATGAGAAAACTCACAGTGCGGTGATGTCATGTTAAAGTTAAAAATATCATAAGACAGCGCAGTCATTGATTAAGCAGACACCAAAGAGGAAAAAAAAAATAAGACCACGAGCGTGACCCTTGCAGAATGACTTCCATGTGAGATGGCAAAGACTTGTCTGTTGAGAAACCTGCTCCTGCAGCAAAGGACCATGTGTACTGGCATGCGTCCATCAAACCCAAACAAACACAAACAGATAGATGCCTGTGCCAACATCACATACAGTCGTGCTCATCTATCAAACAGGGCCCGAGACGGAACAAACATGCCAGTTTAGCTGTTCACACACCCTGCATGGACACGCGCAAAATGAAATGGCAATGGTAGAAGTTACCACTAATTCCAATTTCCATCTTGAAGTATTTCAGGGACAGCTGCTTCTGGTGGATTTAGGGGGAAACAACTGAGCGTCCGCACTGACGCATGCATACTAGGACGTGAAGTGGAGTCACATAGCACACATACATCTGGAGGGACTCTTCTCTGTAATGTAAGTCTCAAACCTCCTTTTATACACAAACAGCCCAAAGCTAGACTTTGCAACGATCTGATCAGCTGTATCTCATCGGCTGATATGCTTCTATGCATATTTTGTTAACTTTTTACAAGCTTTTTTTAAGCCCCAATTTAACATAGATTCAGCCAAGGTAGGATACTGCCTGCAACTTTGCATAGCAGCCCAAAAGCATCGTGCCATAAGATCATTGGATGATGTCAGCGCTAATGTCTTGGTGTGATGTAATTGTGAATCGAGGGCTGGGTGTTAACCGTCACACCCCTGCACCCAGTAACTGCGTAATACCCTTTCACACACGGGTGTCTACTAAACCTTTCATATGGTGATTATATATTACAAACAAACTAAGAATTTCAAATAAAACTAAAATGGACCTGTTCTGATACTTCGGTGGCGGACAAAAGATCACGTCCCACAACTAAAGATGAAACGAATGGGAAATGATTAAACCAACACACCTTGCTTGCTTCAGTCACACTAGATGGCGTAAGCTAACAATACAATTCACAATTTCGTGTCGAGCCCATTAAGCTCCCATTATAGGGATAGAAAAACTATTCAACCGTGAGAACATTGATCCAGCCAGAAGTATACGTTACCCATTATTATTATTATTATTATTATTTAATTACTGCTTGTGTTTTCTGTTTTCATAAGCCCACACCATACAATGACAATTCCTAATTACTGCTTGTGTTTTCTGTTTTCATAAGCCCATACAATGACAATTCTATTTAACTTCAATCTTTATGTGGGGCACTTTGTTAGAGATTAAAAGAGATTAAGCCATGAAAGTACACATGGAACCTGTGAATGGCTCATTAAATCTTACGATCGCTTCGCCGTTATTTAGAAAACTGTAATGTGGAGCAAGTAAAGCACTGATTCCGCGGCCCTTCCACCCACTCCTCTTCAAAGCTAGCCGCTCAGGTTCATATTTGTAGCACCGAGTGACCCAAAACTGCACCCAGTAAAAACACATCTCCTTTAAAAATGAATCGATGTAAAAGCGCCATGTTTTGCTACGGTGACGAAAAATAGGAAAGCAGTCAAACGTTTCCTCCAGAAGTTCAAAGATACAGTAAAACAACAATGTCCTGGCATGGTGGGTGGATGATAACACTTGCCTATTAAATGCTAGGTCAGAACGCGTGGTTATTTTTAAATGTTTCAGACAGCATGAGTTTTGCAAAGATTCTCATGCTGTTTTTTGTAGTGTTGCTTTAAATGTGCAATTAGAAGAATCGTATCAAACCTTTCCAGTTGTGTGCCGCCACGGCAGAAGAGCGTAAAGTCTTTTTGGACTTTAACAAAATAAATAAATAAGTGTCACACAGCCGATATCCCTGCGACTCATAACTATATTGTTAGCACCTTCACATATGCTGTTGTTGTGATCAGCTGAATTCTATTTTATCAGAGATCTTAGATACAGGACTGTGTAACCAGATATTTGTTTTTTTTTTCCTCTCTCTCTCGCTGACTACTATTCGATACTTGATTGGGAAACCCCTAATTTCAGACAATGATAAAAGTTTCAAATTGTGTTTTCAAAAAAGGTGAGGATTTGAAATTGGTGTTTCAAGTAAGATGGAGGATATCAAGCCAGGTTTGGCCTTTCAAATGATTCTAAGCCAGGGTGAGGGTTTGAGCAGCCAGCACACAGAATTGCTCCAAGCATGTACAACACCTCCCTCCTCACTTTAGTCAGTTTTTAACTTGAAACCAGTTGCTGATGTCAGCTCCTGTTTGAGGTGAAAGGATGTGAGAGCAAGAGAGAGCGAGAGCAAGAGCGAGAAACAGAGAGAAAATAGCGTGGGAATAAAAACATGGAGCAGGGCGGTGGGCTAAAATCTTCCTCCTGCCTCGGAATAGCAGCGGCTTCTGGCTCTGGGCCAAATGACTTTACTCCAGCCGGCATTTCACATCCCGGCTTCTTGGTGCCCATAAAACACATCATCATCATCACCATGTAGTTTAGCGGTGCGGCTAACTGTCAATGCATTTTAATGCTAACTGGCATGCAGACATGTCGACTGCTGTGCTGTGCCCGGTTCAGCACGTCGCTCTAGTGTCTTTGTTCCTCGTGACGGCTGTCGGTGACAACAGCAACGACATGACTTCGACAACATGTCTTGCATTGTCTCAGGCTTGAAAGCTTTGTTTGGAAAACATTGGATTAAGACCCTAAATTGACATCTTCAAATCCTGTTTGAAATCCTTGTCCTGACCCGAAACGGGGCCCCAACACTTGGTTTGAAAGCCCGATTTGAAACCCAGCACCAGGCTTCAAACCCCAGCCATGACCGTGAGTCCTCAGGCACCAGCAAATAGTTTGCCGATGTCTCACTCCTGTCATGTTTCCATTCGACTCGAGTCTCAAAGAAGAGTGAGAAGATGGAGGTGAACATAGGATGAAGGGCAAACACGTAATCGCTGTAACAATCATCTGAAATCACGCCACATTATGACAATGAGCCTGTTGAACGCAAAGGACGAGCGGCATCATTATTGAACGGGAAGTCACGGACAAGCTCCACCGACAATAATCATTGGCTGGGCGCGCACGCCAACACGCACGCGCGCGCGCACACACACACACACACACACACACACACACACACACACAGTGCTTAAGCCAGGAGGAAAAAGTGAGGCGCAATGGAATAAGAAAAGATTCTATGCATCCTGCTGCAGCTTTATATAGCACAACTTCAGGGTGCAATA